AAACGAAGGTCAACTGGTAAAATTAGCAGCCTCCTTGCCAAAACTCCGTATGTTGGCGGTCACGTGAAAGAATGGAAGGTTCCGGAATCTTCGAAATCAACGCACAATCGAAGTTAATCGATTAAGTGCTAAAATAATGGATTTTCCTTTAGGTTTTAGCCTTATCCCGGATTTGTCGCTTCCTGAGACGGCTGCTGCAGTGTAGGATGATATACTGGGGTGGATTTGAAGCCTCCCGGACGGCATTCTACGCCTATCGGTCCATCGCCTTAGCTAAAGTGTTCTCGATTCAAGATCCGTGCTCTGCGGTCTGTTATCATTCTTCTGTTGACAGGGCTATTACACGCACTCGTTAGACAAGTTGAAGCTAGCTGCCAATAGGTTAAATGGAAGTTCGGTAAATCCTGCTGCTTATGGCTGACAGTGTTGGTCGCAGCTGGTTTGCATGGCGTACCCAAGGTAGGCGGCATCCAGTTTCAGATTAGCCTGTCACTGTGGCCAGCCACAGGACGCCTGCGCCTACAGAAGTACCGTGAGTGGCTTGCGCTGCACCACCTACAGCTCCAACCGCACACCCCATATCCAGTGTAAACCCGAAGGAATAAGACCGGGAGGTATGCGGACGGGAGCCATGTCCCATCAACGGAACCAACCCACACTCCTTCACAGACAAACACAAGCACGCTGTACTTAAGGGAATCAAGCGCACACAAGGAGGTTACTGGACCGTAGTCCGCTCCACACTGAGTGTATGGAACCACTCTTAGAGCCTAATACGGTCAAAAGGATCGTGCACCCCGTCCCCTCCAGCAACGTCCAACTGTCTCCTGGAGTCAGTATGGACGAGGTAGTGGGTAATAGACAGGTAGGCACTTTGTCAACATGCACATCAAGCGCAGCCACACAGCCAATCACTTGAAATAACATTATCAAATAAAGTATATCTGTCAAAGCATACGGGCTATGCAGACAAAACTTTTCGCAAAATTAGCATATAAAGTAAGTTGGTTAGCAATGAATCCGCCATAAGTACAAAATGCCCAGAAGTTACTTAAAAATGCTACAAACTCAATAGAGTTAACGAAAATAAGCGCAATTAGCGTAAGCAACGTGTGCAAATTAATAGAAGATTATTCAGGTAGACAGAGCAAACTTTTTAAATTGGAATGAAATTTATCCAGCCTTAAAACAGCTAGTTTAAGTGTAAGTTGGTTTAGCCCAACTGCGATGAAGAAGCACCGAAAATGCAACATTAGCTTCAACCTGGGTTCCAAGCAGCAAGTCGTAAATGAAGTTCTCACGCTTGCTCTTGATCTTGCCTGGCGTCCATGTTGCTTGACCTTCCCGCTACTAACGTACACCTACTGACTGACCCGGTTGAAACGACCCTCGCTTAGCACCATACGGTTAGTTGAAATCACGTTCCGTCTTGAGGTTCCTAACACCAGCTGTAGATTCTGAGGACGGCCGAACTGCATCAAAGGGCATGCGGAGCTTTCTCTTCATCACTGCCTCTGCTGGTGATACTCCATCCGGCGTTTGTGCATTTTGTGTAGATCGGTACAGGAGGAACCGGTCGATCAGCTTCACTATCTCTCCTTCCCACTTAGATTGGAGGAGAAAGCGTTTGATTGTATCCACAAATCTATCCGCTTGCCCGTTCGATTGTGGGTGGAATGGTGGAGACCGCACGTGTTTGATGGCGCGGCGTTTACAGAACTCTCTGAATGTGGGAGAAGTAAACTGTGTTCCGTTGTCCGTCACCAATGGTTCAGGAAACCCAACCCTGCTGAGGGCTTGTCGCAACCTTGAGACCGTTGCGCTGGTTTTCGTGCCGCTTGCTGTAAGCGTCGACCACTATGAAAAAACTCTGACCGTCGATTGGGCCTGCAAAGTCGACATGAACACGGCTCCAAGCTTTCGCTGATTTTGGCCACGAATGGAATTCAGTCGTCGACGGTGGCCTTAAAGCGGCAGCGCAGTTTCTGCAACCTCAAGCCACCTGCTCTAGCTGTCTGTCTATAAACGGCCAATACACGTGACTTCGGTCAAGCGCTTTCATTCGGTTGAGCCCCGGATGTTTGCATGGAACTGCCATAACACTTGCAATGTCTGCGGTATGACTACGCTCTCCGAGAACATGACGCAATGGAGAGCGAATGACTTCGTTGATAGAACTGTTGCATTTCGGCAGAGAAGCACGAAGGTGGCCAGCTCGTTCTGTGGAAACATGTAACCTTCTGTGTTTTGGCCCGCACAGCTTCTGCCGTAACTGGCAAACCAAGTACTGCCTCGCTCACCAGGAATTTACATCTGGTTCGACCCCAACTGAGGATATGATGGTATCATCGTGTTCTTGTTGATGAGAATCAATGAGGAGCGACAACGCATCTGCTTGGCCCACAGAAACCGTCGACTGATAACGGATCTCAAAATCATAGCCTAGTAAGGTGAGAGCCCATCGTTGGAGTCGATTTGTTGTGTAGGCAGGAATGCCCTTTTTCGAACCGAAATTGGCCAGTAGAGGCTTGTGATCCGTCAAAAATTTTGAAGCGACTACCATGCAACATCTTGTGAAATTTTTTCACAGCAAACACTACGGCCAAGACCTCTTTCTCGATCTGGCTGTAGTTTCTTACAGCTTTCGCCAGCGTCCTGGCGGCATATACGATCGTCTTCAGAGATCCATATACGAACATATGGGAAACTACGGCACCGATCCCTAGACTTGATGCGTCTATGGCGAGGACAATTTCTCGGGACGGGTCAAAGTGAGTCAGAAGTAGGTCTGAAGCCAGCAATGACTTGACCCGCTCGAACGCAGTCTGGCATTCTGACGTCCAGTTCCAGATTTGGCCGTTGCTTAGCAACCTGTCCAGCGGGGCATGCAGGCGATGCAATTCGGGTAAAAAAGCGCTGTAATGACCAATTAGGCCCCAGAATGAACACAGTGATTGCAGCTCCGCAAGCGGAGGCATTTTCTGAATAGCTCGGATACTTTCTGGATCAGGGCGACGACGGTCTTTCGCGAAAATGAAGCCGAGGAACTTGATGGTTGGTGTAAAAAATATATACACTTGTCTTCATGTATACGGAAACCAAGCACTTCTGGGAGCCGCTTAAATAGTTCTTCTGCCGCCCGGCCTAGTAAAATGATATCATACAGGCATGCAGCGGCTACAAAAACTCCAGTGATCATGGTGTACATCAGTTGCTGGAAAATGGCTGGTGTTGTTTTCACTACAAAAGAGAGGCGGTTGATTGGTTCAAGCCGCGATGAGTATTGATGGTCAGCAATTCTCTCGAGCATCCATCAACATCGACCTGGAGGCAGGCATCGGACAAGTCAAGCTTGGTGAAACACTTCCTGCCATTCCACTTGGCAAAGAAATTCTCTGGTATCGGAAGGGGCTATCCATGGTCTTCCAGTGCGGCGTTCAAACCAGTTAAAAAAATCAGCGCAGACACGCACCTTACCGTTTGCCTTTTTCAGAGCAATAATCGGCACAGCCCATGAAGTGTTTCAAGCACTGCGTCAAACTTTCAATTAGTTTCATTTGTGTTTCCACCTGGGATTGTTGCTGAAGTATCAGCTTTGAAAAGGTTCAGCGGAAAAGTTCATCACATTTTCATGTTTGTCCATCGCGATTGTTAACTCAAAATGTTTTCTCGCTATTCCAAATTAAGTGCCCGAATTCTCCGTAAGAATTCAAGCCAAGTCGAAGAAAAAGCAGAACTTGACCGAGAAAATCGTGTTAACAAAAACACCGCCAAACGTAGCCAGAACGCCGCCAAAGCGCTTTACAACTACGTCAGACCTACGCCAACTTTATAGGCAGCTCAATGGCCTTCGGCTTCTAGAAAACGAAAATCAAGTGGTAAAATTATCAGTCTCCTTGCTAAAACTCCGTATGTTGGCGGTCACGTGAAAGAATGGAAGGTCCCGGAATCTTCAAAATCAACGCACAATCGAAGTTAATCGAGTAATTGCTAAAATAACGGGTTTTTCTTGATGTTGTTACCTTATCCCGGATAGCGTCGATTGATTCTTAGGTCACAGAATTGATGATACTTGCCGGGGCGCGGAAATTCGGTGATTGCCCGATAGTGTTTCGTACGGGAACACATCGTCCTTCGCGTAGAGCACCAGACTACGGTCGAAATGGACAAGTGAAAAATATAGCTCCACAAATCTAGCAAATATTCGAGGGCAACAGCCCCTCCTCAGACAAAGTTAACTCCGGAAACAAGCCGGTACCACTGTGGTCACGTCTACGATTACAAGGAAAGCTGACCAGGTTGAGATAAACATGAGGATAAACATGTAATGCTTCGTTCTGTCTGTCCAATAAAATTAGTTCAATTGAGTTCTGTCGTTGGCATTAGTCAAATAAACGGAAACAGGGTAATGGAAAGTCCAGTTCGTGAATGTGTATATATAGCCACGAACAGCCCCCAGAACAAACGAGCTAGTTGAGGTGCATGCAGGAACGATCAGTAGCAAACAAAGTGTGATGGATTTCAATCACAACGAATAAAAGTGGACTGATTTGAAAGCCGCCAGTGAAAAGTGAGCGTGCCGAGTGGATCAGATAATCCGTAAACTATCGTCCCTCATGGCTGAGTATCGATGGAAGACAGTTATCCAACTGCTGCAATGGTGATGTTGAGTGGATAGCTTACAAGGTCCAACCATTTTCCACCCTCAAGTGGATGACCAAAAAAGCCAAAGGAAAGTATCCCCGGAGAGTTCCAATGGAACAACATGTAATCCATCTCATCGTGGTGAAATCCAGTCCCAATGGGGTTTAGAACGGAAGACAAGGACCAGCCCACTAAATATTGTTAGATAAAGCTTGATTTGTAAGTAAACATAACCATTATCACTGCCCATATAGATTACGGAGTGGAGTAAGTTAAAAAGCTTAAAATGACAAATCGTGAGTTAACGAAAGCGAAGAGAACAATGCAGTGTTCGGTAATGTTAATGCAAATTCAACTTACAACGTTTGATCCTTGTCCATTGCGGCAATCAGCCAATCGATTAGGTGATGTTCCAACAACTTGGCATTTCCAATGGGATCAGCCACTTGCTCCAACGCTCTGATAACCATGCAAACTAAATAATCCGGGTCGAGCGCTAAGCAGGAATCAAGAAATAAAAATACATTCTCTGAGCGAGACAACAGAATGTGAAGATGTGCGATAAAACAGCGACAATGGGTGGCGGATGATATCTCAACGAGTGGGTGATCCGTTTGGTGTGTAATAGGAGGAAACTTGGGCACCTTTGCAAATGCTTGAGTGCTAACGAAAAGGGAGCAAACCTCAATGCCGGCGTCCAGGCAAAACTCGAATATAACATCACGCTGACCTTGGGATAAGTAAGGATTGGCGACCAGCACCTTCGATAAAAGAGAATGTGTAAAATAAAAGTGGGGAGAGTCAAATAATTGAAGAAGAGGATGGAAGCACTCTCGGACAGTAGAGAGGCAAAATAGAAATGATAACAGAATAGTGGAGATACGAGTGGTAACGTATCAGCAGTGCGCCGGAACACTGCACCGGCGTTTCGCTGCTAGGTGGCCACTACCAATTGAACGAGATGGCCCGCACTTACGCGGATTCAAACCGGCAACCTCAGGATTACAACGCGAGTGTGCACTCCCTTCAGCCTGAATACAAAGTGAATGACAAGAGCGATAGTACAAATCGGGACAAAATGTGTATAATTAGTGACATTGCAAGTATTATCCACTGAATGCAAGTAACTATTTAGGGTAGAACAGGAAAAATTGTTCTTTTGGGATTCATCGCTGCTAGATTCAGACAGGCATCATTTATCCAAAACACCTGTCTGGTTAAGTTTCAAAAACAAGATAAATCCCCATACTACTCTGCGTCAGTTTCTACAAGACCGGTAGGACAAAGGGAGTAAGTTAGATTACAGACTTGAAGGGCAACTGAAGGAAAGTGTTAAGAGGAGCACATCTTAAGGAATGGACCAATGAGTCCAATGCTGACCAAATTCCAACCTTTTTAAAGAAAGAAAGTAGAATAATCGCATTGGTTGATCGAAAGGATGCTTTAACATTAATGTCGAGAAGCAAAGGATAGAAGAGAACAGAGAACTAGCAAGGTCACCAAGAGCCTATGAATAGCTGTAGTCTGCACCATGTAGTTCTCTCGGGTCTGGAGGCTATCAAACTGGTACCTGCAACCTTGCCTCCTTGATCGGCCCCTCGGAGCGATCAGGTTTACAATCAACGCGGCCCGGCCCGGAGAGCATAACAGAAAGCAAACGTAGTACGCCAGTACGCCATACCGACGCTTCGTTGCCATACGAGCACCAACAATCGGCAGTCTGCCGATCGGAAATCATCACCAATACACTCTAGCTGAGGGTGGGAAACATACCTTAGCTAATGTTCCGCAATATAAAAAAGATAAGAGATAAAACATTACAGATCACAAAATCGAAAATAGTAACATAATGCTGAGATCACATCATGCCTTGAGTTATTATCGTTGTTGGAGGTGGAAACTAAAGGGGAGGAGAGGGACAAGGGACTCACAACGCAAACGCCAGCTAGTGTATCCATCCGAACATGTTCATATTCCTTCGGACCCCAACCAGGGAGCCGAGAGGTTCCAACCGCGGCCAATCTCAAATTAAGGGCCTGCATTGCTCACGAGCAAGGCATCGATTGGCCAGCCCTCTTCTTCCATCCACACCTTCGGAGAGTAAACAACGCACATCGCGACAGTTGATGGGCTGGCACGTATGTATGTATTTAGGCAATCCCAATGGCGGGATAGACTATGGTGCGCTGAGGTTTGCGGTGGCTAGATCCTGATAGATGGCCTACCCACTGCTGCTACTGTTGTGCCACTGGCTCATGTCCTGGACGCCTCGTGGCGACCGCTGGGTGGGAGTTGGGTTACGCCCTTCTCCCTGCTAAGATCCAGGGCACCAATCCGCAGGAATCAGTGAAATGACCATGTGCTAAACCCGCTGCCTTTCGGGTATTTATTTAATCGAAGGCTTTGGCTGAGGACCCGATTCGTTCTCCTGTCAGGTGTGGGCGCCCTGCCAGTATCCCAGCCCATCCTCTCCGGAGGTTAGGAAGTGATCTTCCCGTAAAACCTAGCCAAATAAGACAACAGGTCGATAGGTGATAAGCTCACTGCTCGATTGTCGTAGAGCACAAGCGCCACGCATGGTCTCTGACGGTGGGATGGCCCCTCCGGGTGTTCAATGGTTTGCTACTGCTCGCCTCAAGCCAGTCAGCCCCTGGCCAAAACCCAGGAGTATCTGGCAGTTATCGCAGCTGCATACCATACTACGGTCACAACACATATATGAATTGTTCCAAAACTCCAAAGGCTGAGTGTGACGGACCTTAAGTAGATCACGAACCGTATAGCAATAGTTCGAGGCGCTTTTGCTAACCATCGCCACTTATGGTGCCGGCGCGACATCACTCTCGCCCTGAAGGGTAGAGTGTACAATGCAGCGGTACGTTCGACCTTCCTGTAAGGTTGTGAAACCTGGCCCCTTAGATCAGCGGATATAAAGAGGCTAGTTACGTTCGACCACCGGTACCTTCGCAATTTAGCTCACATCCGGTGGGAGCGCTGAGTAAGCAACGAGTGTGTTCGACGCCTTGTTTACGGTACAGGAAAAGGAAATGTACCGCTCAGCATCGTTACTTCACGCACCAGGCTTCGATGGCTCGGACACGTGTTACGCATACCAGCCCACCGACTCCCTCGACGTGCGTTGTTTGCGCACCGGGGGTGTGGATGGAAGAAGAGAAGAGGTGGCCAAGCGATGACTTGGTCGAGAGGAATGAAGGTCCTCACTTCAAAGCTGGCTTCAGTTGGAGTGTCTCGGTTCCCTGGTTGGGGTCCGAAAGACGATGAACACGTTTGGCTGGATATACACTTACTAACATGGCAAGGAGTCGACCCCAGTGACGTTTGTGCTGTGAGTTTCTTTGTCCTACACTATCCGTCTTAGCCTCCCCCTTCAACCACGATCTCACTATTTAGCATTTTATAATTTTGCAAAGTAGATTGTTCTTTTTCTGCTGCATGGTAGCCAGCATGTAGCTTACCGGAACGATGTCCATCCGTTACTGTTAGCTCAGCTGGCTTGCACCTGTTGCACTTTATTCTCTTTTTTCTTTTGGGTATTGCGGCACAGTAGCTGAGGTGTTTCCCATCTTTAGCTAAGGTGTAAAAGAATCTTAAGCAGATCCCAATCTGTCTCTGCAATCACATTCCCGAGCTAGATGTGCTACTCACTGCATTGTGGGTTAGGCTATTGAACTAAATGCTTCGGGTGGAGTCCTTCAAGCAAACCTCCGAAGCACAAAAATCACCAGCATGCGTGCGATTGCTCACCAATGTAATCGTATGTCTGCGCGCAAAGCACTCAGCATCGGGTGCTGGAACGTGCGTATACTGTTGGAGTGGAACACGAGTGAGCGCCCCGAAGGACGCATGGCACTCGCAGCGATGGAACTGGCGAGCCACGACATTGATATTGCGGCGCTCAGTAAGATTCGGATTGCTGAGCAAGCTAAGTGCATGAAACAGGTGCTGGCTACACGTCCTACTGAGTGAGCAACGCCGCCTCAGCACCAAGTGAACATGGGGTCAGATTTATAATATCCAATCACGTAAATGCCCAGCTGGTGGGTGAACCAACAGGCATCAGCGTGTGACTGATGACTGTTCGCCTACAACCCGGAAGAGGTAAGTTTGCCACTTTTATAAGCACGTACGGGCCGACCATGCGTAGCCCTGATGACACGCGTGAGCAATTCTATACGCAGCTATCCTCCGTGATACGGTCTGTGCCGAGGAGCGACCGACTATTTCCGCTGGGTAATTTCAACGCGCGCGCTGGGTGCGATACATTGGTGTGGACAGATGTCATCGGTCGGTATAGCATTGGCTCAGCGAATGCTAACGGTGACAGGCTACTCTCACAGCCTGACGATCACGAACACTCGGTTTGCACTAGGTGCGAGTGATATGACAACTCAGATGTACACACGGAGTGGTCATGATCACCTGCTCAGCAATATCATCGTACGTCAGCGAGATATACGTAAAATGAGCAAGACACGCGTACGGCGTGGAGCTGAGTATGGCACTGATAACAAATTGGTACGGACCAAACAGTATACATGTTTAAAGCATAAATTTAGCATCTCCCTCGGTACTGTGGCGAAACGTACTGAGCTGAACAAGTCAATGGCTGCACGCCTGTGTGATGTGGAAGGCATAGCCAAAGTGGGAGACCTGTGGCACCACATTCGCGACCAGGTGACAGCTGCCGCCGAGATCATCGGGCGCGAAAACTCAAAGCGGCCTGATTGGTTTGATAAGAACCATGCGAAGATTAGCGAACCGCTCGAGATAACGCACATCCTGCCGGTACATCGTCCACGTTTCACTGCCATATAGAAGAACGGACAGCACCATGGATTTGTACACCACCAGCTTCGTGCCAATGGTAAGCTGATGGTTGTTCTGCACTCGGAACCCAAGCTTGCCAAATGCCGCCGCTGTCTTCGACACGCGGATACGTAGCTCACTGTGCAGCTGCTGATCAGTCGACATCACACATCCAAGGTAGCAGAAGCGGGAAGTGGTTTCCAATACTTCAGCAGCAATGCTGATTCGCGGGAATATTGCAGATCGCACCTCCAGTGAAGGCTGAAAGAGATAGACAGTTTTGCTTGTGTTGATGGTGAGCCCAAGTTGGGCCGCTGTCGAAGCCAGAGCACTAGTCATGTGTTGCAACCCATCCGCGCTATGCGCAAACAACGCACAGTCGTCAGCAGACAGCAACATACGGATAGTTGTCTCACAGACTAGAGTTCTCGTACCGAAACTACGGATGTTCAGCAACCCACCATCAATACGGTGCTCCATACGAACACCGTAAGCACAAGCGGCATCAAAAGCACAAGACATCATTGCATGAAGATTTATATTAAACAGGGTAGGATCTAAGACACAGCCTTGCTTCACAGCAGTGATAACTGCAGTCATCCGAGGTCTCTAAACTCAGCTGCACCCGCGCCGACCTACCACTGTGCAAACATTTAATTAAACTTAAAAACTTACTCAGACAACCAAACTTACGCAACACCAACCACAATGTCTCGCGGTTCACCGTGAAATCAACAAACATCGGGTACAGCGGTTGGTGTCGTTCTCTGCATTTCTCCTGCAACTGATGAGTCGCATACACCATATCTATAGTGCTGCGACCCGAACGGAATCCGCATTGCTCTTTCGCCACGTTAGGTTCCACAATCTGACTGGCGAGGCGGTTGAGCAGGATTCGGGCAACCACCCTGCCCACACAACTCAGCAAGTTGAT